ACAGAGTAACAACTTTCAAAACAACATTTGACCTCCATTGAAGCTCGAGTACATGATACATTTTGAAAGCAATAATAATAAATAATAGAAACAGAACTTTGGCATGGTTCTGGTTATTGCACCAAGGTGCAAAATGATGCACCATCCTACAACATGCTGATTTACGAGAAGAAGAAAAAAAAACATGCTGGCCAACAGAGTTGACATCTCAACTAGAGATCAAACATGCAAGCTGATTTAGTTTTAGACAAAACCACAAGTTAACACTGCAGTGATAAAATTCACCAATGAAAGTGGACTCAACCTCCCACTTACTTTCAGAGGAAACATCTACCTAAGTGGCAGCTGACATCTGGCACTGTAGAGGAGACTCAGGGTTTGTGAAATATGCGGGTCAAAGGGAGACAATGACTTTAAGTTTACACAGTGCACAGCACGTCAGAGGATGCCGTCATGAGGCTGCAACCCAACTTCACATGTACACGAGAGGAAATCAACCCTCAACTTTTACAGGAAGACTGACATCAGTATGCAGAACTAATAAGTAAGTAGAAGATATAAATTACTCTGAAATACTATAGATCATTTTTTATTTAAAAAAATTTATATATATCTCTCATAAAACTTCAAACAAGCAAATAAATTTCTCTTTTATTTTCTACCTAGTAAATTAACTACAAAAAACACTGGTTAAAACCACTGATTCAGATCTTGTATAAGCACAAATATGAGAATTATTTTTATCTAAAATGTATGATAATGCAGCAGGCAGAAACATGGAGTTCATTCGCATTATGACTCTCCTCTGCAAGGGTCACAGATCTGTTCTTTGCATCAGGTAAACACTCCATAGTTGATGTGACTCACTGATTACGCTGTGAATATCATCAGTTTGCGTTAATGACCCATCAGCCTGCGCCATCTAGAGTTTCATGACAGAACTTGGTATTTAGTTGCTAAGACATTTCTAATTTTCATTTAAAGTTTTCTTCTAATATTTATATTTTATTTTATTTAATCTTCATTTCAACTAACAAAAACAGTTTATTTTTATGTTTTAGTTTTAGTATTAACAATGACAACACTGATCTTATTTTTCTTTTGAGGATAGAATATAAGTAAAGGTCAATGATTATTATCAATGTTAATGTAAAGTTATAAGTAAAGGTCAGAACCCTTTATTGCTATTGGGCTTCTTTTATAAACTGATAAGAGAAAAGCATTTTAGTACAGGAGTGCAGATCTACCATATCACATTTACATGTCAGCATCAGCAAGTGAGGAGGAATATAACAGCAAAAGCTATTCTACCTAAGGAGGCAGTAGCAAGAGAAGTGGCATGACACCAAGTCCTGAACATGCTCAGAAAAGTCCAGGCCAGAACATAGATGAGACAGTGATCATCACATGTTCACAAGTCATGAAATTCACACCACTCACACTATAATAAGCATCTGCACGACAAGCATTTGTTGTTGTTTTTTTTTTTGCATTCTTTTTATCCACATCATGACAAGTTCTCTCTCTCTCTCTCTCTCTCTCTCTCTCCACACATGGTTTCTCGTGTGGCTGCTGGGATTGGTGTGAACTGCAGGGGCAGAAGCTGTAGTCTGCTCCAAACTGGATCTGTTAGAGAAGAGACAGCTTTGGCATCGCTCCAGAGATCTCCCCCTCACATTCTCTCCCACTCTTTCTCTACACAAAACAACATTCAGCACAGTGTCATACCACACATCAAAATATCAAAAGTCTTGCTGAAGTCTTTCTCTTTTCCATCTTTTGCCTGTCTTTTTTTACAGTTTTGGAAGCACTGGCTCCTGCACGTCCAAACACAGCGTATTGAATTGATCAAATTCACATGCGTGCATGCACAAACTCAATTTTTTTAAGTAATTTAGCTGTGATGGCTAGTTGTAATGAGTTTGTTAAGACTGGAGCCCATCTGTCTGGGAAAAATCGATCAAAGGAACAGCAGGAGAAATCTAGTTTTCTAACAATGACTCTGCAGAGACTGCTTTTTCACAATGATTTGCGCCTAATAGGCTGCAATTGCAAACAGTGACAATATAACTGTGATCCAGTGAAATTAATATCTGCTGAACTCATATGTCAGTGATATTTCATGTCAAAGCAAAAGCATGGAAAGGCTCAGCTTCTGTGTAAGTAAAAATAGACATGATGCGGGAAGAATGACTTTGCTTCTTTGCAAAACAGACACTAAAAATATACTAAAACTAAATGACTAGATATCAGATATTCTGAACCCTGATAATTAGATACAGTATATTGAACAGCACTGTAATATTATATATACACTATTGTTTAACAGTTTGGGAGTTGGTAAGATGTTTTAAAATGTTTTTCAATTCAAGTCTCTTATGCTCATTAAGTCTGCATTTATTTGATCAAAAACAGCAATATTTGGAAATATTATTACAATTTAAAACAGCTGTTGTCTATTTAAATATATTTTAACATGTCATTTATTCCTATGATGAAAGCTGAATTTTCAGCATCCATTACTCCAGTATCACATGATCTTTCAGAAATCATTCTCATATGCTGATCTGGTGCTCAAGAAATTACTATTATTATTATTAATGATTTTTTATTATTATTAATGTCTTCTTATTATTATTAATGTTGAAAACAGCTGTGCTGATTAATATTTTTGAGGAAACCATTATACTTTTTTTCAAGATTCTTTGATAAATAGAATGTTCAAAAGTAAAAGTCTTTATCTGTCGCAATTTAATACACCCATGCTAAATAAAAGTATCATTTTCTTTAAAAAATTACTGAACAGAAACATTTGAACGACAATATATGTGTAATTGCTGCTGTTGCATTTTAAAATCAACCACTGCATATCTGGTTGTAATTTGAGCACCGCTTTTATTTTAACAGAAGGAATCAGTCACTAATCAGATATTTCTTATGCCATGCATGCAACTGGACTCCAAGCACATCTCAATGTTTGATCAACATAAACATCAGGCACTTCCTGAAATCATCTTATCTTCTAAGGTTTTCTTCTTTTTTCTTTAAATCCACCCTCAACTTTGACTTTTGACATTACATTTTTGTGTTTCACAAGTCTGTGCTCAACAAACATCAACATCTATGATGCACTTGTGAAATAGTATAAAGACAAATACGACAGTATATGTGGAAAAAGGAAGTACTTTTGAGGCTATTATTTTTAGAAAGTCCTGTGCTGTTTTATATGAGAGAGACAGGACTGGGCAGTGTCTTTTGGAAGGAGATGGAGGGAGGAAAGCTATGTTTTCCTGTCTCACACCAAAGGGCAGGGAGGATTTCAGCTACGTCAACACGAGGGAACAGACTGAACGACATACACCCTCATGAACAAAACATAGTGGACTAATATCCATCAAGAGAAAAGAGAACACAATACCAGAAACAATAATCATATTTTAACTATGGACTGTATGGGACAAACTAAAAACTACTTTAATTTTCCATATTTTTATAGATGGAAATACACAACGACCTTGTCTGAGACAACATCAAAACACTAAATAATATGAACCTTGACCACAAGATCCACAAGATCAAGAGCAAATCACTAGATGATCTAAGAACATCCATTCCCCATGCTTCTCTTCATGACATGCTCAATGTGAATCCACTAACTTATTCCCAGCCATACTGAGATGAGAAATGTCAAGTGCAGATTCTAAAGCCTCTCTAATGAGCCAGACATCTCTTATTCAATTCTAATATCACCTAATGCTTTAAGCAGAGCAAAAGTAACACAGAAAACGTTCTTCGTTACACATGCAGGCATGTCTTTATGGAAAGCTAGCTGTTTCATGTAATCGCAAAACATTGATGAATTCCTATGCATTACTTACTGCACTGGTTTAATAAGTTATTCATGTGCATCTTGAGGTGGGTGGAGGGGCGGTCCGCCTGAGCTCACAACACAGACAAGCTGGGATGAGCCTATATGACAGAAGCTATGAGGAAAAAGGACACACATAGAAGCAACCATGAACAGAGACACAAACACAGAACTGTAACACAATCAGCAAACACTTAAAGACAGCACAATGAACCGACATGACATTTTAAATGCAACATAAACTCTGATAAAGTGTAAAAAAATCACATTGCACACAGAGAGAGAGAGAGAGAGCGTGAGAGCTCTGAAATAGTTTATATCTGTAGCACATAACTGTCACAGCATAATATCAGTCAAAAATTGTATAATGAAAATGACAGACGGATGAGTGGGTGGATGTAGAGCGAGATGCGGTTAGTAAGCAGAAATGTTTTAAACATTAAATTCACACGTGTAATTTCCAATTACTTCAGACAAACAAACACAAAAGTATTAGAAAATAATCAAGATGCATAACAACCTAGCACCCTATAAAAAATAATAATAAAAAAAAATCAATCGCTTACTCACAGCAGAAAGCACTCCGGCGTCTTCACCTCCGCTGCTGATTGATTTGCTCAGCGATCAAATAAAATTGACTACAAACCTGTTTTATACAGTCTATGCTACAACCCCCCAAACAAGTTCTATTCGGAGACAAACCGGTGGCATCGTTTCTTGGAAGGACTCCTCCATTTACCAATCACTCAACCTCACAAACCTCGGCTCACATATAACGAAACCGCCCTCCGTCAGACTGACAGCTTCTCGGTAGTGTTTAAAGCGGTCTACCCTAGATAAGAAATACACGTTTAATGGGCTGTGTGTGTGTAGTGTGAGCCAGTTGCCATAACGTAATAATAATTACGTTCAGCCCCACCCACCTGTAGGTCCATGGTTGCAAGTGGCTGTGCTTCAAAAGCAGTGAGCTGCTTACGCAGGTGGGGATTTTGATTCAGTGACTCGATTCTTTTGAATCTTTGACCAAATAGATTTGTTTAGTGGCCATTTGCGTGTTTACAAATTTAAGACAGTTTAAGCATCAAAAGCGTTTCCCTTCAATGGTCAACTCTTGTACGATAATATACCACACATTTAAGATTTTCAAACTCTTTATGTTAATTTAAATTGGTCACCAGTCATTGTTTAAACATTCATAATTCTTCACCTCAGGTGATTTGTTCGTTAAAAAAAAACAACGAGATGCCCCAAGTCGTTTAAGGAGATGGCTTCAGTGCCGCTCCGAGTCGTTTAGATTTGCTCAGTGATTCGTTCAAAAGAAAAGGTCGACAAATATGAATCAGTTGAATTCGTTCACTCAAAAGATTCATTCAAAGATTCGTTCACCTCTACGGCTCAGAAACACGCCTATGATTCTAATCACTGTGTGGCTAGGAAGCTCACTGCAACTTTGCAGCTCTACTGGATCAAGAATTGTTTAGCTAATAATGAGTTACCCTGGTTTTGGATCCCTAACCTATTCTTTAAACGTTGTGGTAGGGGTGTGCGATATATATCGTCTGCGATAATATCGTAATTGTTGTTTTAACGATGTGCGATTTGACATTATCGAGTATTTTGCAAAAACCATTCAAAACATCCCTACAGAGCGCACGCATACATTACGTGAAGTCTAGACTAGTGCGTGTGCGCATTTAGTGTGTTTTCTTTCACTGCATGATTCAGTCTATTAAAATGCATTTAGAATGATCACAAATTCAAGACACGATGGCAGAAAATGTATATATTTATACCACTTCATATAGTTATTCAATTTCACACGAAGAGTGCCGTTTTTCTCCAAAAAATACCATGATTACAAATGTGACATTGAATTCAATAAACAAT